CTTTAATCATGATCAAATGTTATATGTAAATCCGCTTTAAGTTATTTTATATATATAGCATTTCCACATTAAATGAAACCTTTTACAAATTAAATGAACCCTTTTCCAAATTAAATGAACCCTTTTCCAAATTAAATGAAACCTTTTCCAAATTAAATGAAACCTTTTCCAAATTAAATGAAACCTTTTCCACTTGAAATGAAACCTTTTACAAATAGAATGAAACCTTTTCCAATTGAAATGAAACCTTTTACAAATAGAATGAAACTTTTTCCAAATTAAATGAAACCTTTATTCTTATCTAAGGAAATATAATATTTGCACTAATTTTAAACCAATATTTGAAAATTAAATCAAAGAATATTAACAAATATAGTTGTATGGCTATGTAATTAACATAAATATTCTTTAATTCGGTGTGATTTCATTTAATATCTTTACTACATAAAACTAAATAAATAGTAATACAAACTGGGGTATTTCTTGACATTTTAATAAATAAATATTTAAGAACAAGAATTGAATACCCGGTCCTAAATGCGAAATACATATTTGACTTAATAAATTGTTGATGATAAGGTAACTGCTTATCTTAATGGAGGGGTTTCCGACTTGCAGCTTGTGGGATTTTCAAAACCATGTCCATAACGTAGTTAGAACAATCTTGCCGAGTAAGCTTTTGAATACTTCGCTCGATTACATCAACAATGTTATGTTCCATTGAAACGTCACACAGCTCAGCTCTTGCACATAATTTTATTTTTGAAAATGCATTTTCGATTGGATTTAGCATTGGAGAATAAGGCGGTAAGAATTTAAGGTTGCATCTTTTGGATTCGATCAAATTTTTTATGTCATGTCGCTTGTGTATTTGAGCGTTATTTTCCAACTCTGGATTGATTTTCTCAAAAAAAAATTTCTATAAATAATTTTAATCTGTCTGCATTGACACTGGAATTAGAAACGATTGTGTGATGTACAACTCCCGCGTTGTTTATTGCTGCAATTATAGTGACATTACGACCTCTGACCGTAGGCAACACAATGAGTGCTCCTGTTCCTTGTCTTGAACGGGCTTGGGTTCTTCGTATGTGAAGATTAAATCCACACTCATCAATGAATATAAATTTTTCTCCTTGTTGGGGTATCCATTTTGTAAAGTCTTGAGCATATTTTTGTCTCAAGCCTAATGTTCTGGAGTCATTCTTTCGTTATATTTCAATAGAGGCCATCTTAAACGTAATTTTTAATTTCTGTAATCCATATTCTATGCAGCTTGTGGAAATATTTATATCATTTTCTCTCAACAGTTTAGTTTTTATGGCTTTGAGGGTAATTCCAGGTTGACTTTCTACATAGAACTCGATCAGACTTAAAACTTGTGATGTCAACAACTTAATTCTATTTCCTCCACGCTTATTTTCCTTCAATGTTCCAAAATTTTGTTTGTATCTTCTTATAAATGTTTTTTCGGAATTTATGTTTATGCAGGTTAAATTTGCAGCCTCGGAAATGGTTCTCCCCTCTTCATAGAATTTAAATAATAACAATTTCATGTCTTTTGTTAGTTTGTTATACTGACCCAATTTGTTTCGGGGTCTTGTAGATGTAGCTTCGGTAGGTTCTGGAGCATTTCCACTTGCAATACTTGGCGAGGATATTGATTCTTCCTCAGGTTTCCAATTATCAGAGCTTCCCGAGCTAAAATCAGGTTCGCATTTATTTTAAACGTTGCTATTTTTAAATACAGTGAACTCTCGATAATGTGAACATCCAAAACAGTAAATTCTCGACAATGTGAAGTAATTACAAACAAAATTTTGGAACATTGAAGGAAAATAAGCGTGGAGGAAATAGAATTAAGAGTTGGAAAATAACGCTCAAATACACAAGCGACATGACATAAAAAATTTGATCGAATCCAAAAGATGCAACCTTAAATTCTTACCGCCTTATTCTCCAATGCTAAATCCAATCGAAAATGCATTTTCAAAAATAAAATTATGTGCAAGAGCTGAGCTGTGTGACGTTTCAATGGAACATAACATTGTTGATGTAATCGAGCGAAGTATTCAAAAGCTTACTCGGCAAGATTGTTCTAACTACGTTATGGACATGGTTTTGAAAATCCCACAAGCTGCAAGTCGGAAACCCCTCCATTAAGATAAGCAGTTACCTTATCATCAACAATTTATTAAGTCAAATATGTATTTCGCATTTAGGACCGGGTATTCAATTCTTGTTCTTAAATATTTATTTATTAAAATGTCAAGAAATACCCCAGTTTGTATTACTATTTATTTAGTTTTATGTAGTAAAGATATTAAATGAAATCACACCGAATTAAAGAATATTTATGTTAATTACATAGCCATACAACTATATTTGTTAATATTCTTTGATTTAATTTTCAAATATTGGTTTAAAATTAGTGCAAATATTATATTTCCTTAGATAAGAATAAAGGTTTCATTTAATTTGGAAAAAGTTTCATTCTATTTGTAAAAGGTTTCATTTCAATTGGAAAAGGTTTCATTCTATTTGTAAAAGGTTTCATTTCAAGTGGAAAAGGTTTCATTTAATTTGGAAAAGGTTTCATTTAATTTGGAAAAGGTTTCATTTAATTTGGAAAAGGGTTCATTTAATTTGGAAAAGGGTTCATTTAATTTGTAAAAGGTTTCATTTAATGTGGAAATGCTATATATATAGATATGGCACCTCTGGTCGTATTTAACTAAACTTTCACAGTTACGTTTATCGCGCCATTTAGCAAATCGTCTGATAACGTCAATTTAGAACAGCTGACGGATACCAATTATTAAATTTTCGCGGTTAACTTTTTCTCGCCACTTCATCTGACTATCCGATCAGAACCGATAAGGTAACCTGAAATACACCAGTACAGAGAAACAAAGAAGACACAAGACAATGGAACTGTTGCGGAGGTAAGTTGGTATTTCATAAAAAAATTAAATTTGACTTTATATATATTTTTAAGTATATCACAAATAGTGCCTGTTCTAGAACCAGCTTGAATCTTTTTTTAATCGAAATTTATTTTGATTTGTTTTTTTTTGTCCTGTCTCAGAAAATGAAGAATCTACTAATTTTTTGATATCATAAAGGAAAAAATTGATTGTAGTAAAAATTTTACTTCTTGCTGGTTCTAGAACATACCTTTTATTAACATGCTGGTTGAAGAGCAGGGAGAATTGAAGGGGGATAGAGAGAGATGAGAAGCTTACAAGGAAGTGTGAGAAGGTAAGTATGAGATAGTATCGATGGCTATAGAGATCGGACAGAAGATATATTACGTGTCAAGGTTGCACTTTCCCAACCACTTTAGGTTTCTAATTATGCTGTAGATTAGAGCAGGTTCCGTTGTTGAGAAGAAACTAAGACTCGGTGGAAATGAACACCCACTAGTCTGTAGGCCAGAACTGGGTAGCGACACAGGAGATGCTCAATTGTCTCTGTCTCCTCCTCGCCAACGCAGAGTCTACTGTAATCATTAGGATCATGGTCCCATTTACTGGTAAAGGCCCTGATATTGAAATGACCAGTAATGATTCATGTCATTACTCTTATTTAAGCTGTGCTCAGGTTCAACAGTGAGTGTATCCTTTTGGTAGACGGAGTCGGCCAAATAGATCTTGATACATTGCACCCTAGGTTCGTTGTGCCAAACTTCATAGGCTCTGTCTTCAAAGAACGTCTCAAAGTTCCGATAAAGATGACATATGGGTGCTTTGATTAAGCCATCAATTGCTAGATCTGTAGATTGAGATCCTCGTCTAGCTAATTTGTCTGCTCTTTCATTATGGTGTTGCGGTGTATCCAATACAGCCTGATAGGTCTAAGTAAATTGATTTGATGGCTTTATGAGGCGCTTGACTATCCACTAGTCACCGGTTCAACGATCTCTGCATCCATATTTTTTATCAATTCCACTACCTTCCAAATCGCGAAGATTTCAGCTTGGAAAAAACTACAGTTGCTATCCAGCTTGTAGGTAAGTTGAAGGCCTAGCCTTTCACAGTAGACGCCAGCCCCTGTACCTTCTTCCATCTTGGATAAAAAGCTTAGTTTTATGCGTTGGTCCAATGACATACGTTCAATGTCATACCCTGTTCGTTCAAGATACAACCATGCCCAAAGGTACAACATCGGCTCTCTCTTCGCCCGTTCCATCGTAATTGACAGTGCAGGATTGTACCAAGGTACTTTGCTTTGGGTGATAGATGAAACTGCACTCCACCCAGTGTTGCCAGTTCCGCCTTTGTTGGGTTTACACTAAGGCCGTTCCATGTTATTATCATGATTCCAAATGCTGTTCACAGCATTATTTATTCTTCTAATATTGTTGGGGAATCGAACGATTTAATTTAATTTTTTAATTGTCTTCCAACTTTTCTAATCTCTCAACTTCCTATTTTTTGCTTTATAAATTTAAAACAATTAACTTTTTGTTTACGAAAACCAACGCACACACCGACATGCTCATATGTTCTATTTATCAGCTGATCAATTGCACCTGTCACATTCTTCTCGCTCTCTCTCTCTCTCTATCACCAACACTTGACTTGTTATCATTTCAAAGTACACTAAAGTAGAAAAAGATGAAGAGTGCTTTAAATAACAACAACCACTACAACGGCTTAAATAGAAACGTTATCGAACTTCCTTTAAATTCAACTATCATCCCCCTTTTTCAAATCCTTCAAGCATTGCAAATCACAACAAAATGCATTGTTTTGAAATTACCACCTACCACCCACCCCTCATTAATTGTACAGACATGCGCTCTCCCCCATACAAATGGAACAGAAAATAAAACAAAAGGAAACAAGAAAATTGGCCAGTCCAGAGCAGTGAGAATCTTACAAAAAATCACATTCTAATTTTATTCATTTGCATTTTATTCAGTTTGCCTAAATAAAATAATTTGTTGCTTTGTTTTTGTATTGCCAAATCGAAACAGCATATGTTATACGCAAGAAATGCTCGCAAATGTTGGTTGTTGTACTGAACTCAATGAACGTCTCCTGACGGCGGTCCATAATTCCAATTATGAAGAGACTTTATCCTGTCTGATGCAAGGTGCCAGGTAAGAAAATGAAATTATTCTTTTTTTTGTGATTAAATATAAATTTTGAAATCTCTTTCTGTTTTTATAGGGCCACATTCATATCCTATTCATGTGGACGAACGGCAATTGGTTCGGCGGCATTAATGGGTGATACGGAAATATTACAATTACTGATACAATCGTGTGAAGAACCAGATTTGATTTTTCAACCGGGTATGTTGTTATTGTTGTTGTGGAGTAAAATAATAAAACACGATTTTGTTCATTCGTGTCCTTATGGTGGCAAGATGATGACGTCCGGTTTTGTGAAGTTTAGTGGTCCCGGTAATATTTTTTACTTGTAGTGTCTGTAATGTTACATCTTTGGGCTCTCTTTACTCTAAAAAAAGTGCAATATGACCTATATTGCACATATGACGACTTTTGCAAAACCATCATGCAATCCTGCAATCAGATTACATACACTTTGATAAGATCAATAGTGTTCCTCTTCTAAATAACGATGTTGGATGGAAGTGTATTTGTGGTAGATCTTGAAAAAAATTTAAAACAAATTCTGGACGTCCGGTTTTGTGAAGTTTAGTGGTCCCGGTAACATTTTTTACTTGTAGTGTCTGTAATGTTACATCTTTGGGCTCTCTTTACTCTAAAAAAAGTGCAATATGACCTATATTGCACATATGACGACTTTTGCAAAACCATCATGCAATCAGATTACATACACTTTGATAAGATCAATAGTGTTCCTCTTCTAAATAACGATGTTGGATGGAAGTGTATTTGTGGTAGATCTTGAAAAAAATTTAAAACAAATTCTGGAATATGAAAGCCCTTAAAAAATATTCTTTAAAAAATTCATCCTCATTCTTTAAAAAAATCCCCGCCTTAGATGGACCCTTGAAAAAATATTCTTTAAAAAATTCATCCTCATTCTTTAAAAAAATCCCCGCCTTAGATGGTCCCTTGAAAAAATATTCTTTAAAAAATTCATCCTCATTCTTTAAAAAAATCCACGCCTTGGATGGACCCTTGAAAAAATATTCTTTAAAAAATTCATCCTTATTCTTTAAAAAAATCCACGCCTTAGATGGACCCTTAAAAAAATATTCTTTAAAAAATTCACGTCTTAGGTGGACCCTTGAACAAATATTCTTTAAAAAATTCACGTCTTAGGTGGACCCTTGAAAAAATATTCTTTAAAAAATTCACCCCTTAGGTGGAACCTTGAAAAAATATTCTTTAAAAAATCCACCCCTTAGGTGGACCCATGAAAAAATATTCTTTTAAAATACCACGCCTTGTATAGCCCTTGAAAAAATATTCTTTTAAAATACCACGCCTTGTATAGCCCTTGAAAAATATTCTTTTAAAATACCACGCCTTGTATAGCCCTTGAAAAAATATTCCTTAAAAAGTCCACGCATAGGGTGGACCCTTGAAAAAATATTCCATAAAAAGTCCACGCCTAGGGTGGACCCTTGAAAAAATATTCCTTAAAAAGTCCACGCCTAAGGTGGACCCTTGAAAAACTGTTCTTTAAAAAATCCACGCCTTAGGTGGACCCTTAAAAAAGTATTCTTTAAAAAATCCAAGCCTTGAAAAAATATTCTTTAAAAAATCTACGTTGTAGAAGGACCCTGGAAAAATTATTCCTTAAAAAATCCACGCCTTAGGTGGAACTTTTTTTTTAGAAAATATTTTTTTTAAATATTATTTTCAATTTTTTTTCAGAAAAATCCAAATCCAATGAAATTGAAATCGATACCACTCCGGAAGGTATGGACTGCTTGGAATGGGAAGATGAATTTAATGCCAGCAACAATTCGGACAATTCAAATGATGAGACTGTTGAAGAGTTTACATCTCTGTATTATTATTATGCCAAAACATTCGAACGAACTGGAGATATTGTTAGCAATTTGGAAAATTATTTCTGTGATCGTAATAATAGCATGGGTAGTGCAACAGCGGCCACTACTGCCGGTGCTGGTGGTAGCAGCAATGCCTCTGTCGGCAATGGTAATGCCATACTGATGGCCCAAGATCCCCACACCTTGGATCACATGACAATGGCACCGCTACATTATGCCGCGGTGGGTGGTGATTGTGAATGTGCTCGCATCCTTTTGGAACATGGTGCCAAGGTGGATGTAACAACGGCCGTTGGCTATACCCCGTTGCACATCGGGGCCGATAACTGTGATATAACACAGCTGTTATTGGAATTTGGTGCAAATCCAAATGCCAAAACATTCAATACAGCTGAAACCCCACTGCATGCTGCTTTAAAATATCGCAATTCAAATGTGGCCAACCTGCTGCTGCAGACCAATAAAATCAATATCAATGAGATCGATGAGCATGATAAGACACCGCTGATGTATGCCATTGCCTATGATCAATTCGACATAGCCATGGAGTTGATAAGGAAGGGTGCCCGTGTCAATTTACAAGATAAAGATGGGAATACGGCCCTCTTTTATGCGGTGCAAAAAAATAACATTCCGCTGGCCTCCTGTCTGTTGGAACGTGGGGCACGTCACATTACCTCCCACTATTTGTTGCATCATTGCATCGATTTTGATATGCCGGAAATGTTACGTCTGCTGCTACGTTACGACGAAAATTTGAATAGTTTAAAAGTACGCAATCCGGATGGATTTACAGCTATACAATTGGCAATAATCTATAAAAAATCGAATATGTTGGAATATATGCTGCAGCTGGATGCCTCATCGCTGGCTATGGAAATTGATAATGATTTGATTTTGGCGGTGCAATATATCGATAAATTGGAAGAGTTTAAGCTGATAGCACGTATATTGTTTGCCCATGTGAATGGATTGTCGTGGATGACATCGCCCTCGCCGTCTACATCGTCGTCGTCAATTGTTGTCTCAACCTCCAGTACAAATTGTTATGTTCCATTTTGTCATACACCGCTGTCGCGGGCAGTGACCCTAAATAAATTGCATATTGCCGAATTTCTGTTAAAAGAAGGTGTGGGCATACAGCAGATATGCTATGATCATGTGGTTAATAGTCTAAGGACATTGAGGGCTCCGGGAGCTAAAGAATTTTCCAAGTTTTTAGGTAAGTAGGAGGTCTGAAAAAAAACATTCAAATGATAATCTTCTTCTTCTTCCTTACAGTATTAAATGGTTTTAAATTCCCATATTACAAATCATCGAAACTAGCCCATAAATGGTCATTGGAACGACAAGAGTTCGAAGAGGACCTTAAACGTTTAGCCACACAACCCCTAGAACTGAATGTTCTAACTCGAATACAATTACGCAAGCATTTAATACAGACATTTGCCAATTCCACCGTTGAAATGCAAAATCAATATCGAGCATCGAAAGAAAAGTCATCGTTACAAAAAATTATTGAACAATTGGAAATTCCGAAAAGTTTACAGAAATATTTAATCGATTTTGATGATTGTACATCTGTGATGGCGTTGTATAATTAAAAAAAGGAAAAACGAAAACCAAATACTCACACCACACCCCTTCGACTATCCATGTGTTTTAACAAATAGAAAAAAATAGAACTGTTTTAAAAATAAAAAAAAAACGAAACGAAAAAAATCTACAAAAATCCCCATAAGACATGACTATAAAAATTTGGCTGTATAAGACATTTATCTTTCAAATACCTATCTATGTATATTACTATATATATTTTACTCAAAAAAAAAAAGATGATCTCAATTTTTTTCGGAATTAATTTTAAATTGGTAATATTTATCCTATTGTATACATGTGTTAGTGATTTTTTTAAATATTTGTTTTTTTTTGTTTTATATACGAAGAAAAAAATATTATTTTTTTTTAAATTAAGTATTGTATAATTTTATGTGATTTTTCTATAAATATATTTTTTAAAATTATTTAAATAATGTATACAAACAAAAATAAAATTGAAATAAATACTAGTCGTACTAGATATAGTCAGACAAAAAACAATGGATTATCATTTTTATATAGGCGTGGATTTTCTAAAGAATATTTTTTCAAAGCCTAACCAAGGCGTGGATTTTGTAAAGAATATTTTTTCAAGGCCTATAATAGGCGTGGAGTTTGTAAAGAATATTTTTTCAAGGCCTATAATAGGCGTGGATTTTGTAAAGAATATTTTCTCAAGTCCTAACCACGGCGTGGATTTTGTAAAGAATATTTTTTCAAGGCCTATAATAGGCGTGGATTTTGTAAAGAATATTTTTTCAAGGCCTAACCAAGGCGTGGATTTTGTAAAGAATATTTTTTCAAGGCCTAACCAAGGCGTGGATTTTTTAAAGAATATTTTTTCAAGGCCTAACCAAGGCGTGAATTTTTTAAAGAATATTTTTTCAAGGCCTAACCAAGGCGTGGATTTTTTAAAGAATATTTTTTCAAGGCCTAACCAAGGCGTGGATTTTTTAAAGAATATTTTTTCAAGGCCTAACCAAGGCGTGGATTTTGTAAAGAATATTTTTTCAAGGCTTAACCAAGGCGTGGATTTTGTAAAGAATATTTTTCAAGGCCTAACCAAGGCGTGGATTTTGTAAAGAATATATTTTCAAGGCCTATAATAGGCGTGGATTTTGTAAAGAATATTTTCTCAAGTCCTAACCAAGGCGTGGATTTTGTAAAGAATATTTTTCAAGGCCTATAATAGGCGTGGATTTTGTAAAGAATATTTTCTCAAGTCCTAACCAAGGCGTGGATTTTGTAAAGAATATTTTTCAAGGCCTAACCAAGGCGTGGATTTTGTAAAGAATATATTTTCAAGGCCTATAATAGGCGTGGATTTTGTAAAGAATATTTTCTCAAGTCCTAACCACGGCGTGGATTTTGTAAAGAATATTTTTTCAAGGCCTATAATAGGCGTGGATTTTGTAAAGAATATTTTTTCAAGGCCTATAATAGGCGTGGATTTTGTAAAGAATATTTTTTCAAGGCCTATAATAGGCGTGGATTTTGTAAAGAATATTTTTTCAAGGCCTAACCAAGGCGTGGATTTTGTAAAGAATATTTTTTCAAGGCCTAACCAAGGCGTGGATTTTGTAAAGAATATTTTTTCAAGGCCTAACCAAGGCGTGGATTTTTTAAAGAATATTTTTTCAAGGCCTAACCAAGGCGTGAATTTTTTAAAGAATATTTTTTCAAGGCCTAACCAAGGCGTGGATTTTTTAAAGAATATTTTTTCAAGGCCTAACCAAGGCGTGGATTTTGTAAAGAATATTTTTTCAAGGCCTAACCAAGGCGTGGATTTTGTAAAGAATATTTTTTCAAGGCTTAACCAAGGCGTGGATTTTGTAAAGAATATTTTTCAAGGCTTAACCAAGGCGTGGATTTTGTAAAGAATATTTTTCAAGGCCTAACCAAGGCGTGGATTTTGTAAAGAATATATTTTCAAGGCCTATAATAGGCGTGGATTTTGTAAAGAATATTTTCTCAAGTCCTAACCAAGGCGTGGATTTTGTAAAGAATATTTTTCAAGGCCTATAATAGGCGTGGATTTTGTAAAGAATATTTTCTCAAGTCCTAACCAAGGCGTGGATTTTGTAAAGAATATTTTTCAAGGCCTAACCAAGGCGTGGATTTTGTAAAGAATATATTTTCAAGGCCTATAATAGGCGTGGATTTTGTAAAGAATATTTTCTCAAGTCCTAACCACGGCGTGGATTTTGTAAAGAATATTTTTTCAAGGCCTATAATAGGCGTGGATTTTGTAAAGAATATTTTTTCAAGGCCTATAATAGGCGTGGATTTTGTAAAGAATATTTTTTCAAGGCCTATAATAGGCGTGGATTTTGTAAAGAATATTTTTTCAAGGCCTAACCAAGGCGTGGATTTTTTAAAGAATATTTTTTCAAGGCCTAACCAAGGCGTGGATTTTTTAAAGAATATTTTTTCAAGGCCTAACCAAGGCGTGGATTTTTTAAAGAATATTTTTTCAAGGCCTAACCAAGGCGTGGATTTTGTAAAGAATATTTTTTCAAGGCCTATAATAGGCGTGGATTTTGTAAAGAATATTTTCTCAAGTCCTAACCACGGCGTGGATTTTGTAAAGAATATTTTCTCAAGTCCTAACCACGGCGTGGATTTTGTAAAGAATATTTTTTCAAGGCCTATAATAGGCGTGGATTTTGTAAAGAATATTTTTTCAAGGCCTATAATAGGCGTGGATTTTGTAAAGAATATTTTTTCAAGGCCTATAATAGGCGTGGATTTTGTAAAGAATATTTTTTCAAGGCCTATAATATGCGTGGATTTTGTAAAGAATATTTTTTCAAGGCCTATAATAGGCGTGGATTTTGTAAAGAATATTTTTTCAAGGCCTATAATAGGCGTGGATTTTGTAAAGAATATTTTTTCAAGTCCTAACCACGGCGTGGATTTTGTAAAGAATATTTTTTCAAGGCCTATAATAGGCGTGGATTTTGTAAAGAATATTTTCTCAAGTCCTAACCACGGCGTGGATTTTGTAAAGAATATTTTCTCAAGTCCTAACCACGGCGTGGATTTTGTAAAGAATATTTTTTCAAGGCCTATAATAGGCGTGGATTTTGTAAAGAATATTTTTTCAAGGCCTATAATAGGCGTGGATTTTGTAAAGAATATTTTCTCAAGTCCTAACCACGGCGTGGATTTTGTAAAGAATATTTTTTCAAGGCCTATAATAGGCGTGGATTTTGTAAAGAATATTTTTTCAAGGCCTATAATAGGCGTGGATTTTGTAAAGAATATTTTTTCAAGGCCTATAATAGGCGTGGATTTTGTAAAGAATATTTTTTCAAGTCCTAACCACGGCGTGGATTTTGTAAAGAATATTTTTTCAAGGCCTATAATAGGCGTGGATTTTGTAAAGAATATTTTCTCAAGTCCTAACCACGGCGTGGATTTTGTAAAGAATATTTTCTCAAGTCCTAACCACGGCGTGGATTTTGTAAAGAATATTTTTTCAAGGCCTATAATAGGCGTGGATTTTGTAAAGAATATTTTTTCAAGGCCTATAATAGGCGTGGATTTTGTAAAGAATATTTTTTCAAGGCCTATAATAGGCGTGGATTTTGTAAAGAATATTTTTTCAAGGCCTATAATAGGCGTGGATTTTGTAAAGAATATTTTTTCAAGGCCTATAATAGGCGTGGATTTTGTAAAGAATATTTTTTCAAGGCCTATAATAGGCGTGGATTTTGTAAAGAATATTTTTTCAAGGCCTATAATAGGCGTGGATTTTGTAAAGAATATTTTTTCAAGGCCTAACCAAGGCGTGGATTTTGTAAAGAATATTTTTTCAAGGCCTAACCAAGGCGTGGATTTTGTAAAGAATATTTTTTCAAGGCCTATAATAGGCGTGGATTTTGTAAAGAATATTTTTTCAAGGCCTATAATAGGCGTGGATTTTGTAAAGAATATTTTTTCAAGGCCTATAATAGGCGTGGATTTTGGAATATTTTTTCAAGGCCTATAATAGGCGTATTTCTTAAAACATATTTTTTCAAGGCCTATAATAGGCTTGGATTCTTAAAACATATTTTTTCAGGCCTATAATAGGCGTGGGTTTTTTAAAGAATATTTTTCAAGGGCCAACTGAGGCGTGGATTTATTAAAGAATATTTTTGAGGCCTATAATAGGCGTGGGTTTTTTAAAGAATATTTTTGAGGCCTATAATAGGCGTGGGTTTTTTAAAGAATATTTTTGAGGCCTATAATAGGCGTGGGTTTTTTAAAGAATATTTTTTCAAGGCCTATAATAGGCGTGGATGTATTAAAGACTATTTTTTCAAGGCCTATAATAGGCGTGGATGTATTAAAGACTATTTTTTCAAGGCCTCCACAAGGCGTGGATGTATTAAAGACTATTTTTTCAAGGCCTATAATAGGCGTGGATTTGTTAAAGAATATTTTTTCAAGGCCTATAATAGGCGTGGATTTGTTAAAGAATATTTTTTCAAGGCCTATAATAGGCGTGGATTTGTTAAAGAATATTTTTTCAAGGCCTATAATAGGCGTGGATTTTTTAAAAATAATTTTTCAAGGCCTATAATAGACGTGGAGTTTTAAACAATATTTTTTCAAGTCCTATAATAGGCGTGGATTTTGTAAAGAATATTTTTTCAAGGCCTATAATAGGCGTGGATTTTGTAAAGAATATTTTTTCAAGGCCTATAATAGGCGTGGATTTTGTAAAGAATATTTTTTCAAGGCCTATAATAGGCGTGGATTTTGTAAAGAATATTTTTTCAAGGCCTATAATAGGCGTGGATTTTGTAAAGAATATTTTTTCAAGGCCTATAATAGGCGTGGATTTTGTAAAGGGTGATATTGCATATGACGAATAATAGACTATAATTTTTTTTAAAAAAATTAGTTATTTAGTTTAATGGCAGTCATAACAATTAAGTAAAAATTTGAATTTTTTGTTAGTTACGCCGTTTTGCATTTATCAAATAAACCCACTTGTAAATACGTATTTTTGTTT